CAAGCTGGAGTCCAAGGACCGTGTCGCATGGCTAAAACACCACGGCAGTGAAGGATGGATTGGGCCCGCGGCCCGTATCCCAGACTGCCGTCCCTTTCTGAACCGACTAGAAACTAGCTCCAAACCTTGACTTTTCCTGCGTTTCTGCACTGCCAACTGCCCCCCTGCTCGTGTCCTCCTGGAGCCGGCTTTCGTTCTGCACCGCTTCGGTCCAAGCTGCAGTCCACGGACCGTGTCGCAGGGCTAAAACACCATGGCAGTGACGGACGGATTGGGCCCGCGGCCCGTATCCCAGACTGCCAAACGTCACTTTCTGAACCGACTAGAAACCAGCTCCAAACCTTGACTTTTCCTGCGTTTCTGCACTGCCAACTGCCACCCTGCTCGTGTCCTCCTGGAGCCGGCTTTCGTTCTGCGGCCCGTAGCCCAGAGTGCCAAACGTTCCTTTCTGAACCGACTAGAAACTAGCTCCAAACCTTGACTTTACCTGCGTTTCTGCACTGCCAACTGCCACCCTGCTCGTGTCCTCCTGGCGCCGGCTTTCGTTCTGCACCGCTTCGGTCCAAGCTGGAGTCCAAGGCCCGTGTCGCAGGGCTAAAACACCATGGCAGTGAAGGACGGATTGGGCCCGCGGCCCGTATCCCAGACTGCCAAACGTCACTTTCTGAACCGACTAGAAACTAGCTCCAAACCTTGACTTTTCCTGCGTTTTTGCACTGCCAACTGCCACCCTGCTCGTGTCCTCCTGGAGCCGGCTTTCGTTCTGCACCGCTTCGGTCCAAGCTGGAGTCCAAGGACCGTGTCGCAGGGCTAAAACACCATGGCAGTGAAGGACGGATTGGGCCCGCGGCCCGTATCCCAGACTGCCAAACGTCACTTTCTTAACCGACTAGAAACTAGCTCCAAACCTTGACTTTTCCTGCGTTTCTGCACTGCCAACTGCCACCCTGCTCGTGTCCTCCTGGAGCCGGCTTTCGTTCTGCACCGCTTCGGTCCAAGCTGCAGTCCACGGACCGTGTCGCAGGGCTAAAACACCATGGCAGTGACGGACGGATTGGGCCCGCGGCCCGTATCCCAGACTGCCAAACGTCACTTTCTGAACCGACTAGAAACTAGCTCCAAACCTTGACTTTTCCCGCGTTTCTGCATTGCCAACTGCCACCCTGCTCGTGTCCTTCTGGAGCCGGCTTTCGTTCTGCACAAACTCTTCGCCCCTTCTGGCATCTTGTTGCTAGTAAGGCCTCCTCTGACGCGCTCCCCCTGCTGACGGCAGGGGTCGGCGGATATACATATCCTCCTGAGCCAACTACCCAGTTTAAAAAGTGGGCCAAAATTGAAAAACATACCTACTGTGTGATGAAGCGAAAAGGTTATCTAGGCATAATATGTTATAATTCAAATATCTATATTGACAGTGAATATATATATATATATATACATATATATAGAACTAGTTCATGGATTTATACTGTAGAACAAAGGATTTGCCAAATTTGTCGCTTTGAAGTCACTTGATGGCATGTTGCTGCAAAGTATCCCTAATACATCCTGCAACCTGAACTTCCCATGTTTGTTCATGACAAACTCCAAGCAATGACCGGTTCCATTGACATTTGGGGATGGCAGCTATAGCGAGCCATGGCCCGCGGTGCCATCGCAGCTGCCTTGGTTCTGGGGGCAATTGGAGGTGGTTCCCACGTGGGTTCGTGGAGAACCAGAGTGCTCCATTCCATCCAGGGGTTAATCATCGTTTTCTCTCTTAAATGGCCATAAGTGCGGGTATACTAACCATTTTTGGCAGTGGGCAGCAAGCAAAGATCTGGCTTAAAAGCAGGATGAGATCATTGGCCAACTTCCCCATGTAATTTGGAGTGTTGTGGGGGAAATCGCAAAAGTGGCCAACATGTCAACAACATGTCAAGCGTTTGAAGTCCTCGACTTTGCCACCACCACCACCACGACCACCACCACCACCAGCACCAGCATCATCATCATCATCATCATCATCATCATCACCATCACCATCACCATCACCATCACCATCACCATCATCACCATCACCATTACCATCACCATTACCATCACCATTACCATCACCATCACCAGCATCATCACCATTATTATCATCATCACCATCATCACCATCACCATCACCATTACCATCACCATTCACCATCATCATCATCATCATCATCATCAAGATCATCGTCATCATCATCCATCATCATTCATTATCATCATCATCATCATCATCATCATCATCTTCATCATCATCATCATCATCTTCTTCATCACCATCATCATCATCATCATCATCATCATCATCACCATCACCACCACCACCAGCAGCACCATCATCACCATCACCATCACCATCACCATCACCATTCACCATTCACCATCATCATCATCATCATCATTATCATCATCATCATCATCATAATCATCACCAACACCAGCACCAGCACCAGCATCATCATCATCATCATCATCATCATCACCAACACCAACACCAACACCACCATCATCATCATCATCATCATCGTCATCATCATCATCATCATTATCACCATCACCATCACCATCACCAACTTTCTTGGTTTTGCTTAGGATTCTCCGTGGCTTTCGTGGTCCAACAGCGTTGAGGTGGCATTTTGGTTTGCGGTGGCGCAGGCCAATGCAGGCGGGTGTTTGTTTTTTCTTTTTTGGGCCTTGCAGTTTTGTTCTTTTGTTTCCATACTTTTTCCTTGCGAAGGTGACCGCCGTGTTCTCGCTGTTCTTCGGCCTGGAGTTCATCTATGGAATCTTGCTCAGGTGCTCATTTCTCATCATAAGATTTTTTCATCTTTGCATTGCTTGCGTGTAGTTTTTGCTTTGTTGTGTGTTTTTTCCTTGCTTGCAGGACTGGTGGGTCGATCAGCATGGCGCCTCCACCTGGCATGTACCAGCGAAGCTCTGGTACAAGGCCAAGAGGTACACCGACTGGGCGCAGGAGTCTCTTTCCGGCCCAGTCGGTGTTGAGGATCTTCTTCGCCATGTTGTTACTTGCTTGCAGTATTTATTCAATGTTTGTGGTCGGTTTGATACCTTTAAGTCGCTGTAGCACGTTCTTTTTTTGGGAGGGTCTTTTCTTCTTACTCGTTGCTGCTCAGGAGTTCGAGGTGACCGCCGAAGACGTGGTGTGGGCCAACAAGGTGAGATCTCACGATGTGCTGTTCCCAGTTGTTTGTTTGTTTTTTTTTGGGGGGGGTTGCTTTGTTTTTGCTTGCGTTTTCATTGTAATGTTTTTGGCATCCATTTGTTTCTGAGGTCCTTGAGCCGCCGCCACATCGTCAGAGTTTTCTGCAACAGGCGGCAGCGTATTTTGGAAATGTTTGTTTGTTTGTTTGTTTGTTTGGTTGGTTGGTTGGTTGTTTGTTTGTTTGTTTGTTTGTTTGTTTGTTCGTTCGTTCGTTTGTTTGTTTGTGTGTGTGTGCGCGTGTGTTTGCATGTGTTTGTGTGTGCTTAGCATTTTTGAAGGCGGTGTCATTGCCGCGATGAAGCGGCGATTTCTTTGGCAGGCCTTTGGTGACAATGACCAGCATCATCATCATCAGCAGCATCATCATCATCATCAGCATCATCATCATCATCATCATTTTCACCATCATCATCATCATCATCACCATCAACATCACCAGCATCAGCATCATCATCATCATCATCATCATCATCATTATCAACATCACCATCACCAGCATCAGCATCATCATCATCATCATCATCATCATCATCATCAAAATCATCACCACCACCATCACCATCACCATAACCATCACCATCATCACAATCACCATCACCATCATCACCACTACCATCACCATCACCAGCACCATCATCATCATTATTATCATCATCATTATTATCATCATCATCACCATTACCATCACCATCACCATTCACCATCATCATCATCATCATCACCATCACCATTATCATCACCATCATCACCATCACTATCACCATCACCATCATCATCATCATCGTCATCAGCATCAAACAATAAGGTACCCCATCCCATCGCATGTTTTATTTTGTTTATCAGCCTTTTCCATTCGTGTATCGGAATACACAGTCCCACCACGGTGGGAGGTGAGCCCAGCTGTCACCTGACGGACTCCTCGTGTTCGCTGGAGCAACTGCCTCGCGATGTCAGCACATTGATCTATCCAGGTGCCGGGCATTTCATTGGATGAAATCCATTGAAACCAATTGAAATCCCGTGAAAACTTGGGATTTTCTATGATTTAAATTGGATTTTCATTGGATATGCCTCTGTAGACAGCACATTGATCCTCACAAAAAAAGATACTCCCTCCTGGAACCCCAGTTTAGGACACGATCTATGCAGTATGCCTGCGACCTGCAGCTGACACACCAAAGCCTCAGTGAAAGATCATTCCTCGGACTTGCTGTTATGCAGAATCACCACTCAAGGTGTTGGTGTCACTCAATGCTGTGTGTCTCCAGTCTTGGCTCAAAGCTCAATGAATCTACTTGGATGTGTATGCCAGTTAAGTAGTCGATAGCCTCAGTGATGGGAAGTCCCAGCGCCTTATCCCATCCCAAGGTATGTCCCCAACATTTCATGTCTTGATAAGCCTCCTTCATATGGATTGATGGTGGTACACAGCCCAGTTCCAGGAGTAAGTGCTTGGAGGGTCACCACACTTACTGAAAGTAGATTTTAATCATGTTCGGCAACTTGCCATTTCCTTTGCTGGTTACCGTCTACTTCTTGCAATTTCCCATCATACTCCATCCTGCTGGTTTGTTATATAAATGTATACCTATACAGTCACCGACAGAATTATGGAAAAAAAAACGTTTCAATTTACAGGCGCCGCCTGTCTATGATAGAAAAGTTACGAACCTTTTTTTTTCCATAATTATTGTTTCCATAATTATTTTTTCCATAATTCTGTCGGTGACTGTATGTCCATCGATTCGCAATTTGAATGCATTTTAAGGGGGAATATTGGATTATAGAAAATTTGTGTCTAAAGATCTGGTATATGCCCCTAAGTCTTCCATTGATATACATAATATCATGTGATGTTCGCAATTTGAATGCATTTTAAGGGGGAATATTGAATTGTAGAAAATATGTGTCTAAAGATCTGGTATATGCGAGTAAAACGTGCCATTGATATACATAATATCTGGTATATGCCACCAATTGGGTTGATACTACATACTTGCATTTGCATACATATTTCCATAACCCCCCAAAAAAAACGGGTTTGAATTGTGGATCCATGACATGTCCAACAGGTGGAGCCCCAAACATTAATTATGGAAAAAAACATATGGAAAAACCGGTCAATCTGCCCTAGCCCCCTGATTTCACAGGAAAAATCAATTATGGAAATAATGGCCACCTCCAAGAATTATGGAAAAAAAAGGTTCGGATCACTTCCGGGATATTTTGAACCCTTATGGGGAAAAATCCAATTATGGAAAAATCGGACGCAGGCGCCGCCTGTCTAAGTTGAACGTTTTTTTTTCCATAATTCTGTCGGTGACCATAATCCTATTTATATATATATGTATAAATATAGGTATAAAAAACACAGCGCATGGACATGGACATATATACATATAAATATAATATATATATATATATATATATATCACAACATATGTTTATATATCATCATGTTATACTACATATGTATATATATTATAGATGCCGTATATCATTATGTCTCCCAGGGGTTTCCTGCTAACGTCGCTTGACAGGTGGAGCAACACGCTGCATTTTTAGCGATTCGCCGGAGTACGGATTTCAGGTGGCCACCAGTGATGTGACTGTTGGAACTTTAGTTGTTTTATGGCCCAGAAATCTAGCTTTAGGATATTTTAATAAACAACTATATTGTTGGAACTATAGTTGGAACTTTAGGATCCTTTAGTTGGATTTTAGTTGGAACTTTAGTTGGTTTTAAGATATTTAAAACATGATTTGAGTTGGATTTCGTAGGTTTCCAACACTGAAAAAAAAACATGAATCTACCTCTAGCTGCTTTGAACCATAAATCCAGTTTTAAACCATCCAACTGGGTTAACGTGGTCACCATGGTGACATGACCAATGCGGATAGCTATTGAACAAACCAAATTTGCTGTCTTCTGAAAGCACATCATATCGGGTGTCAAAAGTGTCAAATATCTATGTTTTTCCAAGCATACAGAAGGGATGATTGAGATGACTTTGCAGATTCTTTGGGATAGGTTAAAATGGCTTAAAACCATCAGTCGCAGATATGTAGTTGTTCTGTTTCCTGGGCTTAGGTCTTTCCCCCCAGCTGAGAGGTGCCCGAACCATGTCAAGCCAGATCCCCATGTTGGTTGCTACTTAAATCTAAAACGTTCCCAGTTTTGTTGGTGTTGAAATCCCTTTGTTTTCACACATTGGGTTGAATTTGATTGGATTTTCAACCATCAAATTTGTTATTATACCCATGCGATACCAATGATTTAGAGTCTCATATTCTCCTCGAAAGCTATGAGTAGTTTCAAAATGTCCAGTTAGTTCATGCTTTCGTAAACGCGGGCTCCAGGCTCCACATTATAGAAAATCATTCAAGTTTCGGGCATGAATATGGAGAAACCAATGACCCTGCACCGAGGTGGAAAACGCTAGTTCCCCTTCTGGTTTATCAGGTGTTCAAGACTTATATCCTTCACCGGTCGTTAGATTATGTCAGATTTATCTTTGGTTGGTGGTTTGGAACATTTTTTACTTTTCCATATATTGCTTGGCACGTGATACTACCCTCTACCAAGCACTAAATGGAGGTTTCCTAAGTCCTGGGGGTACCCCCCAATCATCATCAATCATCCAAATTAGACAGTTTTCGATCGTTTTAGTATTAAAAACCATGGTGACTTGGGGGTACCATTTTAGTATATTGTACCCATATGCTCCATGTTTGGAATATTTACCAACATTTTAGTATTGAAAGGCATGGTTTTCCCAAGAAATCAATGGGAATTCAGCAGGTGATTCCCGGCTCCTCGGAGAAGTTGTTGCTCTTCTTCCAGGGCGGCGGGGCTTGTTTTAACGACGTCAGCAGTCGCGAGGCCGAAGCTTGGCTCTTGGAAGATTAAAAGAAGGTACTGTAGTGTTTAGTAGTCTTTAGTAGTTTGTAGTCTTTAGTAGTTTGTAGTCTTTAGTAGTCTTTAGTAGTCTTTAGTAGTCTTTAGTAGTGTTTAGTAGTCTTTAGTAGTTTGTAGTCTTTAGTAGTCTTTAGTAGTCTTTAGTAGTCTTTAGTAGTCTTTAGTAGTCTTTAGTAGTCTTTAGTAGTCTTTAGTAGTCTTTAGTAGTCTTTAGTAGTCTTTAGTAGTGTTTAGTAGTCTTTAGTAGTCTTTAGTAGTGTTTTGTAGTGTTTCGTAGTGTTTAGTAGTCTTTAGTAGTGTTTTGTAGTGTTTCGTAGTGTTTAGTAGTCTTTAGTAGTCTTTAGCGGTTTTTATTAGTATTTAGTAGTCTTTAGTAGTCTTTAGTAGCCTTTAGTAGTGTTTAGTAGTCTTTAGTAGTCTTTAGTAGTGTTTAGTTGTGTTTAGTTGTGTTTGGTTGTGTTTAGTAGTCTTTAGTAGTGTTTAGTAGTCTTTAGTAGTCTTTAGTAGTGTTTAGTTGTGTTTGGTTGTGTTTAGTAGTCTTTAGTAGTGATTAGTATTCTTTAGTAGTCTTTAGTAGTGTTTTGTAGTATTTCGTAGAGTTTAGTAGTCTTTAGTAGTCTTTAGTAGTCTTTAGCAGTCTTTAGTAGTCTTTAGTAGTCTTTCAGTAGTCTTAGTAGTCTATTAGTCTTTAGTAGTCTTTAGTGGTGTTTCGTAGTGTATTGTAGTGTTTCGTAGTGTTTAGTAGTTTTTAGTAGTCTTTAGTAGTCTTTAATAGTTCGTAGTCTTTAGTAGTTAGTAGTGTTTAGTAGTTTTTAGTTGTGTTTGGTTGTGTTTAGTAGTGCTTAGTAGTGCTTAGTAGTGTGTAGTTGTGTTTAGTAGTCTTTAGTAGTGTTGTTTAGTAGTATTAACAGTATTTAGTAGTCTTTAGTAGTGTTTAGTAGTTTTTAGTAGTGTTTAGTAGTGTTTAGTAGTGTTTTGTAGTCTTTAGTAGTCTTTTTTAGTCTTTAGTAGTATTTTTTGTTTGGTAGTGTATAGTAGTCTTTAGTAGTGTTTAGATGAGTATGTTGGTTTGGTAGTGATTTGATGTGATTAGTATGTTTAGTATGTTTAATCTACCTGGATTTACTTTGGCTATAGTTACTATTATAAAGAAATTGCAGACCTTGAAAGAATCTTGATATACCAGTAACTATACCTTGGTATGTCAGAGGTCCTGCTTTTTTGGATCTACATGACAGCAACAGTAAGGAAATGCGGGGTTCAAAATGGTCACATATATATGTCATATATATATATACAATTTAGCTCGGCTACAGTTTCAATGACACATCACGAATTATTTGGAAGATATCTCGTTTTTTTACCCATGTAACTGTTGGGGAGCAAACTGCTTGCTTAATTACACTAATTCATGGTGCATTTTTGGGGCTCTCAGCAGCAAAGATGAGACTGTACAAAAAATACAAGAAGACAGTTCAACAGACCTTGGGATTGTTCTTTGGGAGTGTTATACTCTCAGGTGTCAATCTGTTTCAATGAGGATCACTTGCGTGCTGACCAAAGATCCTACGTCTTCGCATGGCTCAGAACGGGTACCAAAGGTCCCACGAATTGAGTCACTTCAATACTGGGCAATATGATTTGCTGGTTGGTGGTTTGGAACATTTTTTTATTTTTCCATATATTGGGAATAATACTCCCATTTGACTAATATGTTTCAGAGGGGTTGAAACCACCAACCAGTTTGAATTAATTTGATAACCCCAATTCGTTCCAAAGCGTCACATGCTGAGGAAGTGAATTCGTGTTTAAGTAGATGGTAGATTGATGAGAGTCAATGTTTCCGGTAAGGGAGTCCGTTGGCCCCTGTCTTTATTAATGATGGGTTGAAGCAACCAACCAGTCGATTCTTGATTGGTGTTTCCTTTTAAGTTAATTTGCCCTGCTTCATCCACAAGATGAACGACTCTCTTGGCCCAGCTGTCCCTGGCTGCTTCGCTTGAGGATTCTGCGCCCTGCCTGTCACATTTGGTGCTTCAACCACTCTTTGGCATTTTCAATCGCGAGAAGGTCTCGAATCCTTTCCGTGACTACACCATTGCGGCTGGGCCTGGTAGAGCTGAGGCGTTTGTGAATGTTTGGCTCTGAGAATGATGGGCCGAGATGGGCCCTAAGAATTGTAGTTTAATAATATAGTTTCATGAGAATATGATGATTTGGGGTACCATTTTTCAGTCAACCAAGTGGTTTTGCCCTCGCTTTCCTCACACAAATTGCCATGGATTGGGGCGCCAGCATTTGGAAGAGATCGCTGGCGAGATTGTTGGTGAGATCGCTAGCTTGTAGTTTCACATGTTTCGCACGTTCCAATTTGTCAATGATGCTGAAAATTATATACGACCAAGTAAGTGATAGCATTGGGATGGGCAGCTCAAGCGCCAACCCAATGATTTGTTGATTTGTCATTCAATCGACAGTTTGATGGTTTGGGTTCGCACGCCTTTTCCAATCTGATTCGGTCTTAAAATAAGTTAAACTTGAGTACTGGTATGGCTCAAATGAGGTGCAAAAGGCACAACTGTTGCATGTCCGTTTTTTTGTGTGTGGTATCAGAGCACTTTCGATGCATTTTGTTGTTTCATGATTTTGATATACCATTTGGTTATTTAACAGTTCGGCATGGAAAATCACCATTTTTAAGAACGGTAAACCATCTATTTCTATGGGCCATGTATACCATGGCTATGTTAGTCATAACCAGAGGGTAGTTTCAAGCGATATGCGATGTGAACTGATCAGCCCCTGGGTCTCTACCGTCCAGAAAGGTTCATGTCAATTACTGCAGCGGCGACCTCCATGTCGGCTGCTTGGCGGGAAGCCGCCGGCACTGGGAGATATGGATCGCAGGTGGAACATGGGAGATTGAAATGATGTTCATTCAGCTGTCAGATTTGAGATTGATCATGATTGATCATTGTTTTTTAAGTTACTGGTATGTTTATTGTTTCCGAGGTGTCGAAAGTGCCAACCAGAGAATCCTGACTCGGGACACTTCCTGTCAGAACTTATATTGACCTAAACGCTCAGCAGCAGCCTCCAGAATCTTCCAGAATTGGGGTTCAAGGAACTTTTTCAGATGGGAGAAGCTATTGAACTGTAAAACTCATGGTTTCCTCGTAGCAAAAGTGGAAGTGAAATCAGTGATTGATCCAAGACGTTTGATCTGGTCAGCTTCAGCAGGCGGTGCCCCCAATAGTAAACCTCCAATTTCCGAGGGCTAGAAACCCATTTCTGGACATTGCAGATGGTTTATTGCCATATAGGTTTACCACGTTAATATGTAATATATATATATATACATATGTAGGTGTATATATATATATATATACATATTATATATATATATCTCTATTTATACATATTACATATATATATATAATATATATATATATACAAATTATATATATATATACATATTACATATATATATAATAAACACGTCTACATATATATATTTAATTTTACACCATTATGAGCCCATTGTTGTAGATCAACCACTATTCTACCCTAGCCGTCCGGCGATCGAGGCAACGTGCTCCGCTGGTACTTGGACCGCCAGCTGCAACGGGTGGAGCAGCGCGGCTATGTCAATGCCTTGGCGGGCGTGAAATGGGCAAGGCCCCGGGGATTTTTACGGGATAGGGAAATCATGGGATGTTTATGGGATTTCAATGGGAAAACAATGATTTAATGGTGATTCAATTACCACACATGATTCTCAATGGGTTGGTTTAAGGGATAATCAGGAAACCACAGATTTTCCCATGAAATATGGAATTTTCTTGTAAATTGTCCCTGAAACCAATTCGTTGAATCATGACCCCGGATGGAATAAACCATGGTTTATGAGAGTTAGGGGATACTCCCCCACTAGTCATGTCATCTGTTACTGTTCATGATACTTAAATGGTACCCCCAATTAATTAAACAACATTTTGGGTGTATTGATCCAGGGTTGACATTAGTTGGAAGAATTAATAGGGCCAATGTGGTTAACACAAAAGGTGGAAAATTAAATGGGTAATGGAAAATAATGCCAACCAATTTGAATTTTCCGATGGTGGCAATTTGCAGTTTCTGGTCATATTATATAATGTGGTAAATCCAATGTTATTAATAATGAGCCATCCGCTCTTAATCCATAATCCATAAAGGGTTGGTTTACAGCATCCCCAAATTGGATGTTGTTTATTGGGTTGGCTGCATCACAAGGCTAGATGATGTACCGGTCCGTATGCATTGTCTGCCCGTTTGCAGGAAGAATGTGGGGCAGTTGTCATCGCTGATTGTTGCAGGTGCTGGGCGGGCGGGCTTGGAACTTGTGAGCCCATCAAGCAGATTCGGTAGAGACTGTCATTGTGTCTTCTATTATACTATATAATTACATATTTTACATATGTTTTCAAATTATATATATATATATAAGTACTATATATATATATATATATTACGTGTGTTGTCAAATTCGAAAAATTATATTATATATACATAATAATTTATTCTATACACCGAGGAGGTTGTACTGGCCTGGTTTTTGCGACCTTTTCGGTCCTCAATGGTATTCTAAATGAATGTCGATGTCACCACCGAGGTGGAGAAGGACATCCCCAGTATGGTTAGTGGTTTCCTAAACAGGGCCACCTCAAATTTCAAATCATCCAAAAGCATGATTTGGAGAAACTGGAGTACCCATGATTATAGTATATATGGGTCTCAAAATTGTTCATGGGTACTCCAAATCATCAAAAATATTGAGATCCAGGATTTTTGGAGTACCTATTTTAGGAAACCTACATATATACTATTCCATGTTTTTGTTGCAACTGCAAGACACCGCCAGATACAAACCGAAGAATGACGAGACAACTTCCAAGAAATGGTGGTGGAGCGATTTAGCACTCAAACGCTCGCAACCATTTAGCTGATCAGCCGTAGCAACCGCAACCAACCAGCCTTGGAATGACTTGTCCTTTGCCTCTGGATTCCCAAGCTTGGGTTGGTGACGTATATACGTATTATTGATAATAGAAGTGATAATGATAAAAGTAACAAAAATACTACAAACAATAATTATTAGCCATCATTGTCATGATGACCATAAGAACGATATCAAATACATGCCAATTAGTGTATCTACAATTGTAATATAATTTGTGTCAATTACACTAATAATACTACAATTGGTATCACTGAGTGTTAATCTTGTATGCCTTCCCGATGGTGCTGCACCGTGCCTGGAGTCCACGTTGATCCCAATGTTCGCCATATTTTGGAAGATCATTGATGTGGGTAAAACAATGCCATAAACCATCCCCCAAATCACCATAAGTAGGTGATATAAACCATTCCCAGTCATGGGTGGTTTATGACTGTTTTACCCACAATATTAACATTATGTTTTTAGGTTTCGGAACTGTTCAACTGCAAGATCCATATATCTACATATCCATATATCTACATATCCATAATTTATATCATATTATATCTATTCTATATCTATTATCCATATATATTTACATATCCATAAAAGTTGGAAGATATCACCTCCAGGCTCATCCACTGGTGCCCTGGGGGCGCAGTTGTGGATGGAGACCATTCTGCAGACTTTCAGCAGCCCAGATCCAATGGGAAATATGGGACACCCCGGGGTGTGGTTAGATATGTTTAGTCTAACTGAGTAACTGGGGATGGTAAACATACCCCACCCATAAAATGGTGATGACTTGTGGATGGTTTATTGGGTGCACCACGTTACTTGTAGGGTGTTGACGATCCAGTGGTGGTGCCAGCCCACAGAATTCGTCAGGTTGAGTGTTAAGTCATTCGTTCTTTTTTGGGGGGATGATAAGTTTGACATAATTTGGCACTGATTGTCTCAATATGTCAACATACACTGTTACAGTGGTATACCATGTGCATTCATATATAGTGATGCTGTGTGCATAAATACATTATATATATATATATATTTACACATATTATTATAATATAATTATGTACAGTATATATATATATATTGTGTACCAAGTATATGCATATACACACTGTACATACACCTACAGCATTTAATTATTAAGATTCATTCTTACATTGAGATCATTGAGCAGAAGACCTGCCGGACATCTGTTTTGAACCCCCTGCGCACTATGGGGGAAAAGTTCGGGGCACTATGCAGAGTCGCAGTAAATAGCTGGAAATCATGAAACATCTCAAATCTCAAATCTGATATCCGGTTGGTGGTTTGGAACATGTTTTATTTTTCCATATATTGGGAATAATCATCCCAACTGACTAATATTTTTCAGAGGGGTTGAAACCACCAACCAGATATGTTTTAAAATTGAACTTACACATTTTGGCTTTCACCATGGGATTATCTAGCAGAATCTAGCACATTGTTTGTTTGATGTTTGTTGCCATCGCCAACTCATTTTTTTGTTTGAAACAACACACAAAGAATCCCACGGTTTATCGCCATGATCTCCATTTTGTTTCCGTGGGAATGCTGGGATGGCACTGATGAATGTCACTGACAGTGACAGTGAAACGTGAAGAGTGAACCCGTGTGGCCAAAATCCTGGGAAAACAGGGGGGAAGCAGACAGCCTTTTTTTCCATTTTTTCTGGTAGATCCACCTACGAGTTTCCCTACCATCTGACGCTCATGATGGCCATTAATCCCACTCGATTTTTCCGTGTATGAATGTCAATCCCGGATTCATACACCCATGGTGTATTTATTTGGGTGGGTATCCTCCAATCAGTGATACTATGATACTCAATTGGTACCCCTCCCATCCAGCGTTGACAAACAATGATTACCTTCTGGTTATTTTTCACGTAGCTATCGAAGATCACCGTTGTTTTTAGGTAGATCATGGTAGATCATCAGAAATCATCACTAAAATCATTGAACTAAATGGGTCATTTTCCACAGCCATCAACCATCATCAACCAAGGTTACCAGGCCGCAGCCCTATTGATGGACTCCGATATGGCCATCCTCCCGAGCCGTACGGAGGGCCCTCTGCTAAAAGGTGCAGCTGGACTATTTGGGTGGAAATTGGGTACCAGATGTTCATTTAATGAAACTGGAGACCACTAGACCATCCTGGCTCCCATTTTCTGAAAATGACCTCTTTTGGTTTGGAAAGTGATGCACCAGTGGATTTATCGATACCCTATTTTCGACCCATTTGGGGATATCTAATAAGCAAGCAGGATTTCATGGGATCGGATAGGGGTATTTTTCATGACTCGAATGATTTCAAGAAATTTTAGGGGTGTGTTTGAAAGGTTGATCCAAATTGCCATCACTTGGGCCTATATCAAAACCTAAGTTTATGCTACCTAAACGGGCGAGGGTTTGAAACCTACCCGTCAAACGGGCATCGAATAATACCTGTCGAGGGGAGATCGCCAGTACCCGTCAAATGGGAATGTTCAGTATCTGTTAAGTTGCTTGCGGGCCCCTTTTCAGTGGGTCCTGTATGTTCAGTTTGGAAGAAGCGTTTTGTGGCTTGGGGGCAAATTATAAAACGCTTGTGAGACATAGGGCCTGTAAATATGTGGAAAATCGCTTCTTCCAAAATTCCCATCTTGCTTTCCCATTTTTAATCGGGCACTATTTGTTCAATATTTTGAAGGTATAATCACTTACACAACCCTTACATAAACCTTATATATATATATGGGAAGCACTGAGGCTGCGGGACCAGACCTCGCTGTTTTGAATTCCGGGAGTCTGGGCACATTCACCCCTGCTTCAGTTTCGTCAGTGGAAATCGTGTTTTCACCATCTTTTCTGTGGTGCCACACAGCCATCCATCTTCTCTTCGTCCGGTCTTCCCGGTGGATTTACCAACCGTCCAGGCTTTGGTGCGTGCGACACGGGGCTGTTTGAATCGGACGCAAAGCAGAAGTGTGCCGCTGGAGAACTGACCATCCAGGTCCGAACGGATGGCTGGGACATCCCCAAACTAAATGGAAGGGGTTGGTAAGAAATTCAAAAGGAAATTTGGGAAAAATATTCAAATGCTGTTTTTGGTTGGTATTACTGGCCTTTTGCTACGTGTGATTACCGGAGGTTGGGTGGCTGTTTGATCCACCAAAAGGCTGTTTTTACTGGGTACAACCAATATGCAACACCTTTTTCCCTTTCCTCCAATGTGAACCAAAATAAAGTAAATTTAAACAAAACCCTAGTGAACTGTATTAGAATAATTTTTGGATTTTTTTTCTGAGGTATTTGACATTATTTGACAATTAGGGTGATGGGACCAAGTTGGCTGGTGCGTCCATATTTATCATAAAAAATGGATCGTACTCTGGCGAATGATGAATTTTAGAAAACAGACAATGAACAAAAAAAGTATTGCATAATTTAGCTAGGTGTATCAACTAATGAATCTGGTTGGTGGTTATATTTTGCTGTTTACTTCCAATTTTTTCGAATGATCGTGACGAGCATACGGAAGCCTTTGTGGAACTGACAATCGGGCGCACCTTTGTCAATCCATACGGCCATTGATTGTTTGTGACGGACAATTGACGGGAAAACATTAGTTTTAGAACCACAAAATGTCGCAAATATGTATATATATATATGTATTTCCAAGTATAGGTATAGGGGTTATCCATTCAGTTTCGATTTTTTGGAGTAGTTACTTATAACAACATATAATAATTTCAGTTATATACCTTTTGATTTGAACATTTACAACACATACCAGATCTACTTGTGAAGTGTCCGGTCAGAAAATTGGATAACATCCGTTCGCATTTGTGGAGGTTGCAAGGTGAGGGCGAAGGTATTGGCCGACAGTTTGTTTCTGGTGTGCTACCCTCCAGTAGACAAAGGGAGTTCACTGTTACAAATTGTGAGTTCACCATTAAACATGGGGATTTCATGGGATATTGATGGGATACCCTCCGGTAGTTTAACACTTTGGCTATGGAAAGCATGACCCATTCAGTTCAGTGACTTACCTTATGAAAAAATCACAAAGAGTTTCCAGATCGCACGTTCGTCATTACCAGGGGATAGTTCCAAACGCGTCAGCTGCAGTTCATTGGGGGTGAAGATTCAAGACCTAAAAACTAAAAAACAATGATGTTTTGATATGTCTTGCATGTGCGGTATTCAAAACATCCAATGAAGTATCATTACTGTTGCATATAATTACTAAACACTAGCCAGTTGTCATTTGCTATCCAAATTTTCGGTTGCCAAGTTCAACTCATACTCAACCAGCACAGATTTACGATTGGTACTGTCGAAAGGGGTATTGGAGATCTCGCTTAGCTGGTTGGGAAAGGAGAAACTCATCCGAATGGTTTACTGTATCTATGGTACAGCTTTAAACCAACAACCATGCAAGATCGTTTTGTTTCATTGTATTCACTTCTGTTTGCTTCGATCTCTGATGTTGCAAGTTAAATCAAGGTAGGTTATCTCTCCTGGAATTTGATAATTGCGATACTTCACAATACTTCATTTTGATCTAGATTATCCATGATTATGCCCATTGTTTTTTGGATCATCTCCGCATTTTTTCCAAGCTGACCATCAGGCGGTGCTGGAACAGACGATGGCTAGACATAAGGAAGTGACTATGGCAGCCATCAGCTCACTACAGGATCGAATGCAGCCGCCTGGCCCTATGAGTGTGGGCTAGTTGTGGTATGTATGCTGTTTGTATACATATTATATACATTCGATATTATGAGGGTACAATAGATATACGGATAGATATGGTGGCTGGATGTGGCTGGTAGTCTCACTGATTATGTTGAATGATGGTTGATGAATATTGATCGAGTATGGATACCTGTTTGTCATCAATCAAGGAGAATCAACAAATATGTTTATCCTGTCAACTATCTTGGGTAAAAACAAGTCTCCCCCCCCAAGAAACTTGTTTCTTGCAATGTTTACTGGGTTTATTGCCCTTGTTTGAGGCTTAATTCAATGTACCTAATGGGGCCCCTTGAGAAGAGCTTACAAGTCATGACTGCTTCAGCTGCTGAGGGTGCGTTTCTACAATGCTGTGTGCATGGCAGAGATGCTACCCGCAGATTTGACCCCCTATGACTTTGAGAGGAAGTTGATGACGAGGTTGCGGGCGCTCAAAGGATGGAAGCTATGGAGAATCCCTATGGAAACCATGAGAATAGGATATCTGCGAAATGGAGAATTTTCATGGTAGGGAGCGGAGGTAACAATTGTGGCATGGGATGATTTGAGAACATGTTCCTACACCAAAAAACAGATTTCAATGTTTTTTTAGAAAAACTATTCATAGACTCACCTTTTGCATATCAGGGGTTATTTTGTTTGTGGTTTCCACCCTTGGTGTTGCTCCATGTCCAGGTTGGAAGGATACAATCGCTATCCGAATTTCGTCCCTTAGCTGTGAAAGGCTGAGGTCCATCTGGACATGCATTGGGGAACCCAATAGCAAACCATCCCGGAAGTCACAATTGTTGCGGGTGCTGGGTTGACCGTCCCCAAACGGTAGCTTTACGGTAGTGGGTTCTGTTTTCTCTCAAAACTATGAATTGTTATCTTCAAGTTCAAGGATTTTGCCAATATCTTTGTTGAACAAACCAACTCTAGGAGTGATGTTCCAACAATATTCTAGTTTGTCTTCCACAACAAGAATATATCTGGTCGGTCCTCATTATCGGAACATCAAACCCAACATGATTCTGGTTGGTGGTTCGGAACATTTTTCCATATATTGGGAATAATTCCAACTGACTTTCATATTGTTCAGAGGGGTTGAAACCACCAACCAGGATTGGAACACGCAGCTGTCTTCGTTCAGTCGTGTCCCAGGTGACATATCTGGTGCCCGGCGACCGCAACTACTTTCTGCCACTCGAGGCCTGGACCCCCGGAATGAAGGAAGCTCACCCTTGGAAATTGTCCTAAGCATTGAGTTCAGAATTGATTTTAGAATATTGAAAAGATGTGAAAAGATCAATATTCGTGGTTAATATTTCAATTATCAATATAGTATTATGAAGTTTGATGATGCTTCATGCCATTTCACCCGACCCAAATCCACTGTACATTCGCATCAATCCCTGAGGCATTCTTCGGCGAAGCTGCGCTGCCGCAGTGGCTTTCGACCCTTCCGGACAGATTTCAACCGTCGCCATGTCCACTGCGAAGCGGTTGGGATTTTCTTGTGCCAATGACATGGCTGCAAGGATTTTAATGCTAGTAGTGTTTTTTTACCGTATCAATACGTCATTATATCCGTATATCACATTCATCAAAGCATTGTTTGCTTATAGTTAAATCATTGCATCACTGTAAATCACTGTATTAGCACATATACTCGTATCATTATCATAAGATCATTTTATCATTGCATATATAATCATTTCATCTCTCATAGTTTTTTATTTTAGATATCCCCACCAAAGTTTAAACACATTCCCATCATCTCAAAAAATCGTCACGTAGGAGCTGGCTGGGCAACAGATCAGCAGCTTTTGCAGCGGGAAGTGCGGCACGTTGAGCAGCAAAAGTTTCATGTTGACGTCGCATCCTGCGCCTTGGACCCAAATTGGCTCCGCCCAAACAACCAGATACCCTGCTGTTGTCCCCAAATAGCTGGAATTTCTGGACATGTTCCCTTCAAAATATGGTTTCACAGTTTCATACCTGTTTTTTGCAACAGATATGGCATGATATGGTGATTCTGAATAGCATCAAAAGAGAAATTGGGATTCAAACAAAAGATGCCCCAGGATTCCAGGCCGTGAGAGGGGAAATCCAGGCACCATGCAATCGTGTTGAGATGAAGGATCCAGTTTCTTTCCCATGAATGCCTGACGTTTGGGCCTTACAAACCTGAGGTAAACCAGAAAGGAGAGCTGCCCAAAGTGTTTTGGCAGCACTTTGTTTGAGGCTTGACATGGTTTGACCACCCTGCGCAGAGTTAGACTCTTTAAACAAAGTCGCAACATGCGCAGCATCAAAACCAGTTGCATCCTTTTTTTTGCAACGAACCATCCAATTTGTTTGGGGATCAATCCCCAAGTGTCTAACAACACGGGATTTCAAAAACATGATCCACAAGATCTCCCCCAAGAGATTCCCAAGTGATGAGTTGTTGCCCTACGTTCCCAGGAGTCAGCTCCCAGCGGAGAAGCGAAGTTGATCCAAGTGCCAGAGCTCTCCAGGTTGCCATGGTGGAGCTCCTGGTACCTTGATGAAAAGAATGGATGGACCAGGCCGTAGCATATTTTTAGGTCATTTATATGTCATGTTGTCCATGTGTCCCAAAGAACTAAGATCTACATGAATTTACAAATTTGATCTATGGTAGTCATGTTGTGGTTGTGTTTTTGAACAAAAAGAGGTATAGATTGGGAAGTGCAAATCGCCGTGAGTAGGCAGCCAGGGTACCCCCGGTTTTGGAGCACGGGCGCAATTTTTGGATCTACAATAAAAAGATGGGGCAGAAAGAGACCAAAGGTATCTTCAGGTATCGTAAGGTATCTTAGGGTCGGGTTTAAGGGGAAACCTAAGATATGTCCTGAAGACCCAGCCTGATGCCATAGTCCCATGCCATTTGAGTTCGATTCGGGGTTGACAAGTTTGGGTTTGATCAGAAATAGGGTAGACCCTCAAAATTTGCCACTGGAAAATTTGGAAGATGGGGAATTTCTTCCTTGGGAATTGAGAGTAGCCGCCAGGTACCATGTTGCACTTCTTTCTGTGGCCTTGGCCCTTTGCATAGGCCGGGGCTTTTTTTAACGCCAATCCAGCCCAATGTTTGTGTTTCATATGGTCTCATCCAACAAAGTGATTACGATTCCCCATTGATTTTCAAACATATGGGGATGGGTCAAAACAAAACCTATTATTGTCATGTTTTGGGGAGATCAGCATCCATAAATCCCAGCTATTTCAAGGTACCACGCTTTTTAATTTTGACCCATAAGACATATCGTTTTCAGGGCGGAGGCAGAGTTTCTGCTCAGAGATACTTCGTCTCCAGGTGCTTTCCTGGATCGCAGATCTCCAAGCAGCTACAGTGCAAGCCGCTCCTTCAGCGAGGAGCGCGGGCTTCGGACTTCGATTCTGGCAACGCACTTTTTTGTCGAAGTGGAGGGCAGGAAATGGTCCTAGATGATGGTGAGATGTTTCTGGGAATTTCATAGCAATTGATGATGAACCATGGGATAGATTGGGGTTAGAACTTCAACCCTATATGTCATTCAGTTAGGTAAATTATCGATTTTGCTGACCTGACCATGTCATACAAACTTTGGATTTGAGAATTGTCACAACTTGCCAAAAGTCAGGGATTCAAACAACTTCGCAGTCTGGCTTTCACATTTTTTTTGCACCTCTCACTTGCCGAACACGCTTGGAGTCAAAGCAGAATGATACATGATATCATCCCCAGCGCTTGTAACAGGATGACTTTTCGGATGAAGACAAGATTTGAGAATTGCAATGAGGCGCATGGCAGCCGATCCATTTTGAGGAAGACATCAAAATCATTTGGTTATATTAAAAATATGATATGATATAGAACTTAAAGAACATCACAGGAATTCCCACGAAGCGCATAGTGGATAATTGATGCTGTAATTGATTATTTCTTGTATTGAAGCGGACAACTTGCGGCTCAACGATTTGAGCCAGTCTCATTTCATGACAAGTGGTATCGCTAGTGGAATGGAAGAAAATTTTGAAGAGAATGTCGACGTCGGACCAAAACTGCCCAGCGAAATGAATCTCTCTGTGCCAACGGTGGACTAGCTAGGTATATATATAATTCACAAATCCCCAAGTTTTTGTAAAAACAAAGAACTGAGCCTAGTCTACAAAGTAGAACAGGAACACAGCATCATTGTGGCAACCAATATCAACCAGTTTATCCCCGGTGGCAATCAGTTCATCCTCGGTTGTAAGATCCTAGACTAAATTCAGCGTCCAATTCTAAAACATGGATTTCTTCAATGACGGTGAAATGACATTATCTTCATGTATCAATGACCATGGGAGCTGATCATATTCTGAATATTAATGGTGACCTGGTCGTGGATTGATCGCATGGCCACAGATTGAGCTCGCCATGAAGCAACAAGCACCTGACAGGTGTTAAGAACCCGTGCGCTACCTGGCTTCGCCAAAGATGTGAGGGAAAAAAATGCGAGGAACTTGCGGCAAAGGCTTAGCCCACACAATCGGATTTGAAGCAACCAAGACTAAGATATACCAGGTGGAGATTTCAGCAGCAAATGTGGAATTCGGTGACTAGTAACATTTAGTAACTGCTTGGGAACTGGGCTACAATCCCGTGCTTTGAAATAGGCCAAGCCCAGACATTGGGGACTGATAAATTTCTGGGTATATGCGTCGTATATTCTGGGTTAATGATCACCTATATCTGGAATGATCCTCCAATTACGGATCTAACTCAAATCGTAGAATGAGGTGCTGTACTTACGTACCCCTTTCAGAGAGGATTCCATGGAAATCCAGGGGAGTCCAACCCCTCATTTTAGGGATTACCCGGAAGGCTAAAAAAGGAAGGCTGATAAAGCGACTTCATGTGATCGCAAGCCAAAGGTACCTCTTGTCATCCATGTTGAAAGCTTGCTACCAAGCCTTTATAAATACCCAGAATTGATGGTTTGCCTAAGGGCGTAGGAGTTGCTTGAGTTATGACCTCATTTAATATACAGTATTTAATCCCAGTTATAAGGAGGCCAATCATTGAATGGTCTAGTAGCATAGCCAGGGCTTTTAGTGACGAACATACCTTGAGAGTACACACAAAATCAAGATCCTGCACTGGGAGAAGGGTGGCAAATCGATGGTGACCTGGGCCAGAGAGCATTGATTTGCCGGTCGGGGGGTGACCTTCACATTTCACGCGGCAGTTTTGTTGTTCGTGTCCAGGTGTCCAAGAGACGCCGCGGAAAGCTACACTCAAGGTTTTTCACACAGATTGAAGTGGTATGAAGTGGTTTCAATATATTTGACCTTGTAGTTTTCTCTGTGAAGATTCACCTAATTTCCTTCAGATTTTGAGGGAACAATGATTTTCACTGGGTTTGTCCATTTATCCCTACAATATGTGGTTTATCCCTATAATAGGGATTACCCCTATATATTCATTGGATATTCCAATGTGCATTGGGGGTGCCTCCCACGATGCTTGAGCCGCACTCCGTGCAGGCACAAGAAGGGGGCGGCTGGAACAACGAGCCTGTCCTGGCAGTTTCTGGGCGGTTGCGAGGGCGTGGGCTGATAGGTAAAACCATGAGTTACCATGGTTAACCCATGTTTTCAATTGGGATTAAGCATCAGACATGGAGATTTAACCCAATGGAACTATAGTAGTTTGGATTTATTCGACTAATTTGTTTGGGAATTAACTGGGATGGTTTTGATCATTCAGTAGCATTTGTTTGGCATATGGTGAGATTTACAGCCATGTTGGAATACCAGAGAGTATGCACACAGTTTTTCAAACATATTTTGACCTGACCTTTGGAGGAACTCTGATAAGTTTCTGTTTCTCAATGTCAAGCAGTGCTTGGTATACCGATACTCACTCTCTCACACCAGTTTGTGAGTGTCAGCAGGGGTCAAAATCTTGGACGCCCAAATCCATTGATCCATTGATGTTTGATTCCCTCTGGTAAATTAACATAGCTATTGTAATCACACTTTTTTAGAGTTGGTTCATCTGTAAATATATATATATATACCATGTTCCATAGCTAAGAGAAAATACCTGATATTTGATGGTATTATTTGTATTAACCACCCCAGAGAAACTTTGTATTTGTGGCCAGTGACTCCACATAGTGCTGGCTCGTAAAGCCACCATCAGACATTGAGATTTAACCAACGAAATTGTGATATAATGGGATAAAATGTGAATATAGTGGAGATACTCTGGATGAGTTGTATATAACATTATATAGTGACTTCGTCACTATGTCACGTCGGTTAGTAACCTGGGGGAACCATCCCCAAATGGCTGAGCTATTTCAGTTTATCCGGCAATGGCTGGCCCAATGAATATCTTTCCACCATAGTAGGTGCAAGCAAAAATGCTTTTATAAACTTGATGTGATGAACCCCAAAATATGATAAACCCAATAATAGACCTCTACAGGGGACTTTTTTTGGTGCGTTTACCACGTTGTTATGTATGTGTTTTCCATCCCACCCTGTGATGAGCCCAATTGACAGATCTGGAGAATGGTTTATTGATGTGGTGCCGTACAAGAAACTCATTATATATATACAACATAAGCACCTACAAACTCTATACTACCATACCATACTATGCAATAATATCATAATATCATAACATACTTCACAGACTAGACTTTATTAAACACTAGACTGACAAACATCTTGACCCCCTGATGCTTCTAAAATAGACGCCCTGATGGAAGGATTGGATCCGGTGATCGTCCCCGTCTGTTGGGGTAAACGGGGTAAGCCGCAGACATCACAACTGTTGTGCACCTCAAACAACAAACATTGATGACCTGAAAATACATCGATCTGCAAATAACTTGATCTGGAAAATTGAAAAAATGTGTTTTGCATTATTCATCCCATAATATACCCTCTGGTGATTTCGAAGTTTGCTATGGAAAATCACCATGTTCAATAAACAATTCAATTATAGACTATGGAACCCAATAACAAACCTACCATTGGGATGGTTTTTGTGGCACTCATTCTTGGTGATTGGGGTTATTCTTGAGGCTGCGCCACATGCCGACAAGGCGTGCTTAGGATCCGTGGGTGGGTACCTTGAGCATGTTTCTGTGAGGTTACCCCGAAACTGTCCCGGAACATCAAGACAGGTCCGTCTTGAAGTGGACGCACTGAATCGGAAAACTCACAGGTTGGTTTTGCTGGGTACCACCAGTACTGTACATGTTTCTAGACACCCATTCCTACAAGACGTGGAATTATTCTCGTGTGTTGAATAGATGCGCCTGTCTCAGATCTTACGGTATATATACGTACAGTAATTAGTTTCTTTTTCTGTTCAAGCAATGAGAAGCAGAGTAATGAAACGCAACAGTACAACTAAAAGGATTTGGCGCAGGTTCAACATTGTTTGCAGAGCCGTAGCTAGTAGCGACATGTGGTTTTGTCTCAAAATGGTACACCAATTTATCACCAGTTTACTAAAGTTAAATAGTGAAAATGATGAGAAACCATCATTTTATATCATTTTATGGTGTACTATCTATCCATCCATCCATCCATCCATCCATCCATCCATCTATCTATGTATCTATCTATCTATCTATCTATCTATCTGTCTCTACACGTGTATATATTTAAAAAATAATAATATGGTGCATTCTTTATATACACCCTCTTAATCATAAACGAAGCTACATGTTTTTTGCGTCGAAAGATCGCCCTTGAGGTCTCCAAGTACATCACTCCCTCGCAGATGGTGGTGGTGAGCACCAAGGTGAGGAGCTGAAGTCAGCTGTTTGGATTGGATTGGATGGTTTGGAAATGTTTGGACATGTCTGGAATCAGAAGCGGTTAAAAAACATGTGCGATGTTTGAGCCATATGGCCATATGCAAATGATGGTTAGTTCCCTAGCTTTGGGTTGTTTTTGATGACATCTTTTGGAATCAGATGTTTTGGCCAGATCTTTCTTCGCTAAAACTCGCTGCCGAGGTAGGTGATCTGGTCACCTGCATTCGAGCCTCCACAATCGTCGCTCGGCGGTGCTAGCAATACGGTCTTTCTGCGACAGGAGGTTCATATATGATCATATATGATTATATATATATATATACACATCTATATACCTATATATATATATATACCTAATATAAAAAATATATATATATATATTGTTTTGGTTATTGCTAACACACTGGGTCCGGTAAACCTTGTTTGGGTAGGTCGATGGTTGTAACGCCTTACGCAGCCAAGGACCAGCATGATGATTACCCCAGTGAGCCCAGGTGGCCCAGTTGTTTTAGGTTGTGGTTGTTGGTTGTTGGTTGTTGGTTGTTGGTTGTTGGTTGTAGGTTGTTGGTTTGTAGGTAGGTTGTAGGTTGTAGGTTGTAGGTTTTTGTTGTTGTTGTTGTTGTTGCTGTTTTCCATTATAGCAGTCCCCTGTATTCCATGGTGACTGGTTGTCCCCATGGGCCATGTCGGCAATTTCAACCGGGCACGGTGCTGAGGATAGCGAAGCGTTGATGAAGGAAGTGTCTGAGGAGGACGGAGAACATAGGCTGGTCAAGGTCCATGGCCATGGCTTTCTCTATATAGGGATTGTTCAACCTGACCCTGGGTTACTGTATCTTGGACAAGTCCCAGCTTTTTATGACCACTTTGCAGGATGAAGATCCATTGAAATGCTGTGGGATTTCATATGTGAAAATATGTGGCAATTTGAGCCATCACACTGTGAAGCAGCTGCCAAGATGTTTCTGGCTTTACCTCAATGATTGGCACCTTCCATGGCATGGGTGATCGTGTTTGACCTCTTTTGCAGCTTCTGAACATTCTGTCAAGTTGTCAAGTCAAGGCCAGTGTTCGTTCTGATGATTATTATAGATATCGGATAGCATTACAAAGTTGGTTGTACGAGGAAGTACCAGGGCTCGGGAACCCATGATCCAATATATACCCTCTGGTTATTTAACATAGCTATGGAAAATGTCCCATGTATAGATGGCTTATGATGATTTGTCCATTAACAAGAGTGATTTTCCAGTTCGCTACGTTAAATAATTAATGTAGGATACAGATTAGTGTAGGGGGGTCCCCCCCCTCCCCGCCCCCAAACAAATTTTGGATACACAATAGTGTGGAAAAAACGAGGGATTGGGCACGCAATAGTGTGGATTCAAAAAAAAATGATAGATTTCAATTAATTTCAATTTACTTTCAATTTACTTTCAATTGATTTCAAATTATTTTCAATTTATTTCAAATTACTTTGAATTGATTTCAATTTACTTTCAATTTACTTTCAATTGATTTCAATTTACTTTCGATTGGTTTCAATTTACTTTCAATTGATTTCAACTTACTTTGAATTGATTTCAATTTACTTTGAACTGATTTCAATTTGATTTCAATTGTTTTCAATTTACTTTCAATTGATTTCAATTTACTTTGAATTGATTTCAATGTTCTTTGAATTGATTTCAATTTATTTTGAATTGATTTCAATTTACTTTCAGTTGATTTCAATTTACTTTCAATTGACTTCAATTTACTTTGAATTGATCTCAATTTTCTTTGAACTGATTTCAATTTATTTTAAATTGATTTCAATTTACTTTCAATTGATTTCAATTTACTTTCAACTGACTTCAATTTATTTTGAATTGATTTCAATGTTCTTTGAATTGATTTCAATTTTCTTTGAATTGATTTCAATTTATTTTAAATTGATTTCAATTTACTTCGAATTGATTTCAATTTATTTTGAATTGATTTCAATTTACTTTGAATTGGTTTCAATTTACTTTCAAGTGGCTTCAATCAATCTACTTTAAATTGATGTCAATTTACTTTGAATTGATTTCAATTTACTTTGAATTGATTTCAATTTACTTTCGATTGATTTCAATTTACTTTGAATTAATTTCAATTTACTTTCAACTGATTTCAATTTACTTTCAGTTGATTTCAATTTACTTTCAATTGACTTTCAATTGATTTCAATTTACTTTCAACTTACTTTCAATCGACATCCCATAGAAATATTTTAGTAGTCCCAAAGAAATATCATAGAAATACCATGGAAATCCCATAGGAATCTCACAGAAATCCCATAGAAAGATCATAGAAATAACATGGAATAGCATAGGAACCACAAAGAAATCCCATGAGAATTCCACTAATAACACCACAGAAATATCATAGAAACATCATGGAAATACCTTGGAAATCCCACAGGAATCCAATAGAAATTCCATAGGAATCCAATAGAAATACCATAGAAATCCCATAGGAATCCAATGGAAATCCATAAGAATACCATAGAACTCCCATAGCACCCCTTCAGAAATCCCATAGAAATCCTCCAGAAATATCATAGAAACACCATGGAAATCCCATAGGAATTCCATAGAAACCCAATAGTAATACCATAGAAATACCATAAAAGAAGAAAGCTTTAGCAAAGGAAAAGGTAAAGGGACTGTTTGAAAAAAAACACACCAGGAAGCATCTGGACACAATAGTGTACCCCCCAAACAAAGCATACTATTGTGTATCAGGGTTGCTCATGGACTACCCCTTGAAAATTGTTTTAGTGATGTTTTTTAATTGGGTTTTAAAAAGGCATCATCTATTTTGGGAAATTGGGCATTTCTGAGAATTTCAAATGAAAGAAACTAAGAAAGGAATTAATTAAAAGGAAAACGACTTTAGCAAAGGCATCAAAGGAAAGGGTAAAGGAAATGATTGCAAAAAACACAAAATCACCTCAGGAAGCAGCAGGACACAATAGTGTACCCCCCAAATAAACCATACTATTGTGTATCAGGGTTGCTCATGGACTACCCCCTTGAACAATTGTTTGAGTGATGTTTTTTAATTGGGTTTTTTTTAAGGTGTCATATATTTTGGGAAATTGCGCATTTCTGAGAATTTCAAATGAAAGAAAATAATTAAGAAAGTTTAGGAAGTGAAAGAAAAACTTTAGCAAAGGAAAAGGTAAAGGGATTGTTTGAAAAAAATCACCCCAGGAAACAGCTGGACACAAAAGTGTACCCCCCAAACAAACCACACTATTGTGTATCAGGGTTGCTCATGGACTACCCCCTTGAAAATTGTTTTAGTGATGTTTTTAATTGTTGTGTTTTAATAAGGCATCGTATATTATGGGAAATTGGGCATTTCTGGGAATTTCACATGAAAGAAACTAAGAAAGGAATTAATTAAAAGGACAAAAACTTTAGCAAGGGAAAAGGTAAAGGAAATGATTGCAAAAAAAACACATCAGGAAGCAGCAGGACACAATAGTGTACCCCCCAAACAAACCATACTATTGTGTATCAGGGTTGCTCATGGACTACCCCTTGAAAATTGTTTTAGTGATGTTTTCAATTGTTGTGTTTTAATCAGGCATCGTATATTATGGGAAATTGGGCATTTCTGAGAATTTCACAGGAAAGAAACTAAGAAAGGAATTAATTAAAAGGACAAAAACTTTAGCAAGGGAAAAGGTAAAGGAAATGATTGCAAAAAACACATCAGGAAGCAGCAGGACACAATAGTGTACCCCCCAAACAAACCATACTATTGTGTATCAGGGTTGCTCATGGACTACCCCCTTGAAACATTGTTTGAGTGATGTTTTTTAATTGGGTTTTAAAAAGGCATCATCTATTTTGGGAAATTGGGCATTTCTGAGAATTTCAAATGAAGAAACTAAGAAAGGAATTAATTAAAAGGAAAACGACTTTAGCAAAGGCATCAAAGGAAAGGGTAAAGGAAATGATTGCAAAAAACACAAAATCACCTCAGGAAGCAGCAGGACACAATAGTGTACCCCCCAATCAAACCATACTATTGTGTACCTGGATGTAATTTTCTGTGGGAGGCATCTGGAAAATTTCACTGATGGAAAAGAAAAAACTTTAGACACATGAAAAAAATGTTTGAACAGAAACAAGACCAAGACACAATAGTGTACCCCAGACACAAGACCAAGACACAATAGTGTATCCTGACACAAATAAATAAAATGTTTAAAATTGTCAAAAATTGAATGATAATGATTATATTATATGTATATATATATATATATTTATTATGTATATTTTTTATTTTTTAAAAATGTAATGTTTAAATTTGTTAAATTAAAAATTGAATGATAATTAATTATATGTTTTTTAATGATAATTAAATTTCATTTTAAAACAATTACACAAAAAAAAATAAATTTAATTTAAAACAATTGAAAACAAAAAACAAAAAAATGAAAAAACAACTTACACCAAAATCCTGTGGACACAAAAATGTACCCTCGATCATTTCCAAAGATACACAATTATTTTGGAGTCTGTGGACACAATTCTGTATCCCACACTAATCTGTATCCCACATTAACCAGCGTTCTGCCTGACAAAACCGTGCCTCGCGCGCTTCCTTGGTCGAAGCCCTGAACTTCAGGAGATGACGGAGTTTTTCATCTATGTCACTTGGGCAAAGTATGGTTGCCATGTCCCACTGTCTTGGCTAGAGCCAAGAATGCCAAGAATTCAAAAGGAACGAAGCAGCTTGCAGGCCCCCCCGATTGCCATTGGATTAAGCAGAGGGTTTGCAATCGCGACAACAGCATTAAAGCTTGTATGTTCAAGATTCTTAAACAAGGTAAAACACATATAAATATATATATAATTTATCATTTTTTGAAAAAAAACACTAGTGCTTGCCGTCTCGACTCTCAATTTCTCTCAACTCGGTGGTTCACCTCTCACCTGGCTTTTCTCGAGGTATAGGGATTGATGGAGGTGTGCTCCATGGTCTCCGGCGAAAGGCTGGCCTTTCTTGACGATGTCGAAGGTAAATCAGCAAGGGTCGTGAAACAATCCCTTGCGGTGCAGCTTGGCATCCCCAGATTCCGGCAGCGGGTCCTGGTCGAAGATGGATCCCAAGAGATTCCAGATGAGGAGGTGTTTGCTGCCGCTCCAGGGAAGGTACTGCTAGTCCTGTTGGAATTTGCGGAAGCTGATGGAGAAGCAGACTCACTGATGCGTGAGGCATGTAGAAGCAGCAATTTTATTAGACTGGAAAAGTTGCTTCAATGCCCGAGAGATCCTAATGTGCAAGATGAGTCTGGGGCAGTATTATTAAGCCATGCCGCTGCTACAGGGCATGTTCAGACTATGAAGCTGTTGCTTGAAGCAACTGCTGATGTAAATTCACAAGACATAGACGGGGCAACACCACTGCTGCATGCACTGTATCGAGGGCAAGACCCTGTCCAACCTGCTCGCCTTCTGATTGAAGCAGGTGCTAGCAAGGACCAGGCCAACACAGAGGGTGCAACTCCACTGTTCATTGCATCTCAGATGGGTCACGCCGCAGTGGTCCGCCTGCTGATTGAAGCAGGTGCTGACAAGAACCAGGCCAAGACAGATGGTGCAACTCCATTGTTCATTGCATCTCAGATGGGTCACTTCGAAGTGGTCCGCCTGCTGATTGAAGCAGGTGCTGACAAGAACCAGGCCAAGACAGAGGGTGCAACTCCATTGTTCATTGCATCTCAGATGGGTCACTTCGAAGTGGTCCGCCTGCTGATCGAAGCGGGTGCTGACAAGAACCAGGCCATGACAGAGGGTGCAACTCCATTGTTCATTGCATCTCAGATGGGTCACTTCGAAGTGGTCCGCCTGCTGATTGAAGCGGGTGCTGACAAGAACCAGGCCATGACAGAGGGTGCAACTCCATTGTACATTGCATCTCAGAAGGGTCACACCGAAGTGGTCCGCCTGCTGATCGAAGCGGGTGCTGACAAGAACCAGGCCAGGAAAGAGGGAGCAACTCCATTGTACATTGCATCTCAGATGGGTCACGCCGCAGTGGTCCGCCTGCTGATTGAAGCGGGTGCTGACAAGAACCAGGCCATGACAGAGGGTGCAACTCCATTGTACATTGCATCTCAGATGGGTCACTTCGAAGTGGTCCGCCTGCTGATCGAAGCGGTTGCTGACAAGAACCAGGCCATGACAGATGGGGCAACTCCACTGTTCATTGCATCTCAGAAGGGTCACACCGAAGTGGTCCGCCTGCTGATCGAAGCGGGTGTTGACAAGAACCAGGCCAAGACAGAGGGTGCAACTCCATTGTACATTGCATCTCAGAAGGGTCACGCCGAAGTGGTCCGCCTGCTGATCGAAGCGGGTGCTGACAAGAACCAGGCCATGAAAGATGGAGCAACTCCATTGTACATTGCATCTCAGATGGGTCACGCCGCAGTGGTCCGCCTGCTGATCGAAGCGGGTGCTGACAAGAACCAGGCCATGAAAGAGGGAGCAACTCCATTGTACATTGCATCTCAGATGGGTCACGCCGCAGTGGTCCGCCTGCTGGTCGAAGCGGGTGCTGACAAGAACCAGGCCATGAAAGATGGGGCAACTCCATTGCACATTGCATCTCAGAAGGGTCACGCCGAAGTGGTCCGCCTGTTGATCGAAGCGGGTGCTGACAAGAACCAGGCCATGACAGATGGGGCAACTCCACTGTTCATTTTATGTCAGAATGGACGGTGAAGTGGTCAGTCTGCTGATTGAAGCGGGTGTTTCGAGTGGGACAGCCGACATGTGTTGTCAGTACTGTGGCTTGTCATTTGCCTGGTGAGTTTTTCTGGGCGCTCATGCATCCGCCTTCAATCAGCCAAAGGGCATGATGGCAGAGGAAACGGTGGCCAAATTGCAATGCAGTTGAAACTTGGAAAAATGCAGTTGGTATCATCTTGCCTTATCTTGCACTTGCACTCGCTACTTGTATGAACATAGCCCTCGCGCCTCCTTTTCAGAGCTACTGAGCAGGGTGGATGATATTGATATTTAACATGATTTAACTCTGAAATATGTTAAACAAAATCTGATGCATGCTTGGCAGCTAGTGTAATATCTGCAGGTAATTGCAATACTTCTTCTATGGATTGATGCTGTGCCACCACTTACTACCTACCAAACCCCAGTGAAAGACCATGAAATGTGAGAATGGTCAAGTAACTCTTCTTGCGCAATATTCAACATTTCAGACCCACAAAATATGGGAGTTTGTAAAAAACCCGCACCTATTCGTTTAGTCTTCCATGATCTCCCATGAACATACATGAACCATATTTAGCCTTCACTCGAAAAAACGAGAAGAGGGAAAACAAACGATAACGTTGGTTATGTCAATGATCTGTGTCCAGACTCTTGGAATCCAAGGTTCTTGACTTTTCCATCGTTCTGCGGCTATTTCGTGCTTTTGGTATCTTCCTTTGAGTGTTTGTTGTCATAATGGCGCAGATTCTGCACAAGGAAGGTGCCTGGCAGCCTGGTAGCCAGAAAAAAAAGGAACACACACAGGATTCACGAACGATAACAAAACGATAACGAAAACGATAAGTTTTTGCATCAACAATGGTCCGTGTGAGACACTGCCTTTTTTTCCCTTTTCCTCTCCCTTTCCTTTCCTTTTTCCTGTCTCTTCCTTTACTCTTCCTTCACTCTTCCTTTACTCTTCCTTTACTCTTCCTTGTCCTTTTCATTTCCTTTTTCCTTTCCTTTTTCGTTTCCTTTTCCGTTCCTTTTCCTTTCCTTTTCCTTTCTTTTTCCTTTCCCTTTCCTTTTCCTTTCCCTTTCCTTTTCCTTTCCTTTTCCTCTCCCTTTCCTATTTTTTCCTTTACTATTCCTTTTCCTTTTCCCTTTCCTTTTCCCTTTCCTCGCTCATGTGAATTTTTTGATCAAGGTGCGAAGCCAGCGCAGAAACGATAGCGTCTGGAAAAACCATTTGAAAGGGCTCGGGGCTTTTACAAACCCCCATATATCCAAATATCACAAATCTTGATGAGCAAAGTCTTAAATGCGTTTAATGTTGGTAAAACAGTGTCCCCAGTCATCACATTTTTTGTAGGTGGTATGTTTAACATTCCATTTATAGAATTTGATAGATGGGATTTTCCATGAGAAAATACGCCAGCTATTGGGGTAGCATGACTATGGACAGCCCCATGACCCGCGAGGCCTGTCATCCAACCAAGGCCCGCGAGGTGAACTCTGCCATCGCGGAGCTGCGGACGCGGTCCACGGGGCACGTGTCCAGGCCGGTGTGAAGCAGCGGGTGGGGAGTCTATGGGAATTTTAGAGGGATTTTTATCAGGAGATTTTCTAGGGATTTCTATAGGGAGATTTGGTGTGTTTTTTTCTCATGAAGACTTATATAATGAAATATATGGGAATTTGATAGGGAAGCAGTGATTAATCCTCTCTCCCTGTTACTAACACCCCCCCAAAAAGGTAAACACGGTGATCTATTTTTGTATTAGAGCGTATTTTGTATTAGGGTGCCCTTAATATTCCGATGAAAACCCTGATAATAGAAATTTTAAAGAATGATTTCAAATTATATGAGCCACCGCAAAAACCCCGGCAATACTAAATATGTATTGGACGGGCATTGGTTTATGGAAATTGATGGAAATTGTTAAAACACACACACGGTAAGCGATGGGACCTTTCCAAATTAACAATAACCCTTTTCAAGATTCTGTCATTGTCATTGTATTTCTCTAATATCCACATTAGCGATACCCAAATTGGACGTTGATTTCCGTGAATTGTATATATACATATATATATATATGTAGCAGTTTCCTGCAAGCGATACCCCCCAAGTTTACCTTATACCATTGTTGTACAAAGGTGTGGTAAGCGATGGGACCTTCCCAAATTTGTGGATGTCCTTTCCGTGAACCTAGGGTTTTCAAGATTGCTCATATAGATTAAATCCCTTCTAAAAATCTATATAACATATTGCCAAAAACTGGATTTTGAAGCTTTCCCCTAATATTGCAATGAACACTGTAATTGTAAAAATAGGAAAGCCCGATTTCAAATGTGATTACTGTAAATCCCTTATTAAAAAATTATATATATAACATATTGCCAAAAACTGGATTTCGAAGCTTTCCCCTAATATTCCAATGAAAACCTTGATAATAAAAATAAAAACGAAAACTTATGAGATGGGACCCTAATAAAAGAAAAGATGGCAATCAATTTTTATTAATAGGGGGTTGAACCTATTGTTTCACCTTCCTGTTCTCCTACTGATTCTCAAGTACCACAATTAAGAATCCAGTTGTGCCCATCCAAAAAAAACGGAAGTGCCACACCAATCCTATTTTTTTGGGGGGGTGTTTTAGTAATAGGAAGAAGGGATCAGTAATGGTGAATCAATGATGATAGTTGGAACTTAAAACTTAATGGGATATTTAATGGACTGCCCTCCGGTAATCAAACGTGACTGGCTGGAAAGTCCCTTATAAATAATGGAGGTTTAGTTTAATTCCTTATATAGGTGGATCTTCCATTGTCGCGATTTGCCGCCACATTTGATTTCAGGAAGGTAACTTAATATATTGTGAAAAGAGGAGAATATATACAGTAGTGGTCATATAGTGTGGGCGATGTATTTTGGTGATGATATTTTGCGGGGATATTTCATTGGATAGTTCATTGTATTTGTGTGGTTCCTTGAGATTATCTGAGTCAACCTTGGTAAGATACTTTAGGGCGTAAATCTTGTGCTATCAACGGTAAAATATTCCAACGAACTAACATTACGTTTTTTGACAGGTAACTAAGATTCACCATGTCATGATGGAATATCGAGAAGGATTGGGAAAATGATACCGCGGTGTAATTTTGAGAATCGTAAAACTTCATTGTGATATAGCAAAAAATCGCATCCCCCCAAGAAATATTTTTTTAAACTTAAGTAAATGATCAGAATTTTCATAGGACTTTGTTGTTCTATCCTTTTTTGGTGGGGTTACTCTCATCATGAGACTCTCATCCCGTCCAGGCTGATTTCGGCCAATGACTTGACGGGAGTCTCCAAGTTTCCGGCGGGGAGAGCTGGGGCTGGTGGTTACCCTTTGGTAAACTAACATAACTATGGAAAATCACAATTGTTTATTGGTAAATCAACTATAAATTGCCATTTTCAATAACAAACTGTTGGTTTACCAGAGGTTGCCTTGGCTTTGCAAACCTCTTAAAAAATGCGGAACAAGTGGGAAACTCCAACTAAAATAGTGGTTACATGTGATAACTTAATTGAATTGTTTTTATTTGTTTTGGGGGGACTACACCCGAAGATGATGTAATGGTGGTTTCCTGAATATACTTTAGGTTAGTTTATTAGAGGGCAACCACTTTGGTCAGATTCTCAAATATGCAAGGCTTGATTGTTAAGCGGCTACCAATCAAAATCAGCTATACCCACCAGAACGGCAGGGTGTATCCAAAACTGAGCAACATGTATCAACATTATTTGGTCCCCTGCGCCTTTAATTATGCTTCATTCCGATGTGCAAGCATGTATGTTTTACTCAGTAAAATTGCTATTGAGCATAGAAACACATAATTTATCACGTTTTAAATCAGACTTGGTTGCCTTAGATTTGTTGAAGTTTTTTGTGACTCCCCCATTGATTACTTCGCAAGAACCGAAAAATCTTCTGCGCTTTAACATGCTTTAACCCCAAATCAGCAAATCCAAGGTTATCCCAAAAAAGAAAACTGAGGATTTTGAAAATTACTACACAAAAGAATTATGTCAAATCATATTAGTTGGTCCCACTGTGTGTGGGGCCATTGTTTGGGATGATGATGTTCTGCTCATGATCTCATTTTAACCGTCTATGTTTTTTCTTTCAGATGATTAGCGCATTAATTACTACTACTGTAACACATTGTAATATGTCCAGGGACTCCCCTAAAATGGAATTATGCGTTAATAATAGTTCACCAATTTCCATGTGAACTCCCCTTTTTTTTGGATGAATTTGGTCCGTCGCCAGGACCAGGCCTTTCAGAACGCTCTCACCGGCTCAGCGAAAAAGGCACCGATGAAAATTTTTCCGGGGCCGGCTCGGAGGATGGGATTCCTGCGGTTTTTTCGTAGAATCAATAGATTGTAAGAGTATAGTACCCCCCAAAATGGAGCATTCATTCACCAGCATTTCAGAAAGATTTTGCTGTATCTTTTTTTGGGGTTGCTATGTACATACATGATTCTACTATAATCATGATATATCGTACAGATATTAGTGTATATGTATATATATATATATTTATACATACTATGCATGTCCAGCATTGAAAACTGGATGAAGGACCTGCTTGACTTTCATCAAATCAAATTGTGACTACTGACTACTGCACAGTAGGCTCAAACACATCAAACACCGAGTAAATTCTGAAGTGAATTGTGAATGGCTCTAGATTTTGAAGGCGTTTGGTGCAAGCGAAGCAATTGGTGTTTAGTACAATCACAAGAATCATCCCTGAAGTGAGAGCAGATTCTCCTCTGGTTCTCCATCCCGAATGCTCCATGTATGGTATATATATTTCTTACACTTGCCCACCCAAAAAATTATTCAAACGTATCCACATGTAGGAAAAAACATATGCCATATGGGCCATACATGACACATTTTGGCACATGTTCTCGCCCGTGGAAGATGTGGATGTCTTCCTGAATGTCTCACCTGAGGCAGTGACGCTGTACCCGGGCTACTCCGGGCCAACGGTGTTGCTGAATTTGCCGTGCCGTCCTTGGGGAGTATGTGATACATGGGGAGGGCCAAACATAATTTTTCCTCTGAAGGTGGGTCTTGACCCAACAAAGCTGGTGTTGATGAAATTTAAGTGGGTCATTGAAATTGACCTGCAATAGGTCAATTAGATATTTCAATATGTTCTAGGTGGTTTTAATAGGTGATCCTGCAATGTTTATCAATATTTTAGATAGGTAGATCTTTCACAACCAACAAAGCTGGTTTATGGACTCGGCCCTTCCAGCACCTGCCAGCTGTTGGATTCAGGGATTCCACTGCCATGTAACTGATCTCCATGTTTGGTGCTTCAGCGATTTTCATCCAAAACAGCTATGATATGATAATATATGTGATTTTATACCTATATATATATATCATATAATTTCATTTATGTATATATATATCATATTGCATCTTCCTCCCATTGGCACTGGCCTTGGTTTGGTGGACGATGACCTGAGGTGGTTGGCTCGGATGTTGGTCTCCATCCTGACGCCGCTCTTCCCCGGGGCGGTGCGGGAGAAGCCCGGAGACCCGGGATATTTGGTAAATGCGACCTCACTGCCTAGACGCTTTTAGGAACGATGGTTGTTATTGTGTATATAAAACACATATATATATATACATAACATATATATATATATATATTTAACATTATGTAACACATATATAATATACAATATAACATATATGGGTAGAGATGTTCAGAGTTGCATGATTTTGATTGGCAATGATTGGGTAAGCTTTTCATGTTGATCAACAATCCTCTGACCTGTCAACATGACTGACAGCTCCACACACCTTCTGGGACTGTTTTTTTGGTGCTAGTTCTGGGGCAAATAGGCCAGTCACCTAGAATTTTATCTATCATTTTGAGGGGATGAACTGGATGAACAATGATGAACATCCATGTATCAGCTACTTTGGTGTTCACCAAGGGTATTGGCTTTTGACCCCAGATGTTGATCACATTTTTTCCCATCTTGGAGCTGTAGGCAGCTGCATGCTTGCCCCAAGGATCAAGTTTGCTCGCGGACCAATGTCGTACATGAAGGACTTGAAGGAGCTAAGGGGCGCACAGCCGAACTTCATGGGTGCGGTTTCGTGTAAATTCTAAAGAAGTTTGTTTGGCTTATGTAATAATTTAATGACATAGTCTGATTTGCCCAGATGGCGGGTTTCCTGATCTATCAAATCCATTCCCTTGTGCATGAGTCATTTACTCAACCAGAGACTCTTTTGCAAACTGCGCTAGTATGCCGGTATTGACTCATGGTTTCTTTCAGTCAATCACCCATACAAACAAATTATGAGACTGGGACTTCCAGTAGGTGTGGTTGTTTCTAAGAATCTGGAACCTACGGTTGTTGGCATGTGTAGTCTTCAACCACCACATTGTTTGGTACCGGAGATTTTACGAACACCCCACTGACATATATACATAGGTATACATATACAACATGCATACTATATAATATATAAATATATATATATATAAATACGTATACATACATGCGGTACTATTATGGTTGGTGAAAATTCACGGGTCGCAGAATTGATCAAAGAGAAAGTTTACAGGGTTACCGGTTTACCGCTGTACTTGATGGTCAAAACATTGTTGAACCGTGGTTTCCTGTCAATCTTCCCGGAATCCAATCCATTGAACAGGTCATTCTCTCCTGCTGATTGTTGATTCGCGCCCAAGTTGATCTGCCTCTTGTTTTATATTGACTCTTGATTAGTGCCGCACGTTTGGGTTTGTGTTTGAAATGGAGTACCCCAAAACCCTTGATTTATAGTCATGTTCCCAATTGAAGTACCCCAAATTCAGGTACATTTTGGTATCCCCATTTTCAAATTAAGCAAAATCATAATGATGATTGATGGGTATAGCATGTCCCATTGTATCACCGTTGCATCCCTTATTTTGCTGGTTTCGTATGTTCACCGGTGCATCGTGTTCCCAGGACATCGTCAAAGAGCCACTCAGGACGCGATCTTTTCGTGTTTTGCCATGAATTGTGCTTTTTTTCCGCAAAACGATCGCGTAAACAATGTTATTGTTGCCCCATTTTACTCAATATGCATATACAGTATTCATACGGTAAAATTATATTCACAACTATATATATATATAATTATATATATGTATAATAATACTACTCAATATGCATATACAGTATTCATACGGTAAGTTTTTATTCACAACTCTATAAGTATATATATTGGTTTCATACATTTTTTCATGATTTTACATTGCCATGGTTGATTACCACCCAGAATTATTGGAATCTCAAGTGGCTTCAGATGCAGCATGCGCTGGTCACGTGAAAGTTGCAAAACAGCCTGTGACTTTGTAATTCACCAACTTGTGGCCATCCCAAAATTGGATGATGATGATGATGCTGCTGCTGATGATGATGATGATGTTGATGATGATGATTATGGGAACATATTTTCGGAAAGCTGCAAAGGTAAAAACCATAGTTTCCTGCAGAGGTCCCCCTAAAACAAGTCAGAAAGTAATGGTGAAGCAATACTTTGCTGCAGATTTCCTTTAGATCAAACAATCCATCCATTGATAGTGCCCAATTTCGCGACAAGTTCTCACCCCTTATGCGACTTCATGATCCAACAACTTCTTCGTCAGGAGCAACTTCGTGGATGACATCCAGGCTGTGATGAACGCCTGAGGGGCACAGAAGATCTGGGGATGGGCAAAACACCTGTTGCTTCATGTACCAGCCTATAGTAGCGCCAAAAGTTGGCTGAGATTCATCCATTCATTTGGGGATGGTCATATATGGTCACACCACCATGTTGAAAGCAAGTACGTTATGTATACATACGTACGTACATACATACATAACATAACAAAAGATAACATATCATCACATTACATTACATTACATTAAATTACAGCACAGTACAGTACATTGCATTACATACATTACATACATACATTGCATGCATTTCATACATTACATACATTACATAAATTACATACATTACATACATTACATACATTGCATGCATTACATACATTACGTACATTACATACATTACATTACATACATTACATACATTACATACATTACATACATTACATACATTGCATGCATTACATACATTACATACATTACATACATACGTACGTACATACGTGCATACATTACATACATTGCATGCATTACATACATTACGTACATTACATACATTACATTACATACATTACATACATTACATACATACGTACGTACATACGTACATACATTACATACATTACATGCATTGCATGCATTACATACATTACATACATTACATACACTACATCATCAACAGCAGGACAGAGAACCCAATTTTCTTCCGACAAGGCCATGTCATTTATATTGTACTATATTGCCCAGTTTCGAGCATCCTGTCTGATAATCACCGGAATTTATGTCTTCATTGAATGGTGAGTGTGGTGGGTTAATATTCCCTAATACCTTTGATGATCTTCCCAATTGAATGTAAAGTTTAACGGGGATGGGAGTGTAATATTCCCTAAAACCCTAGTTGATCTTCCCAATTGAATGTCAAGTTGAACGGGGGTGGGAGTGTAATATTCCCTAAAACCCTTGTTGATCTTCCCAATTGAGTGTAAAGTTGAACGGGGGCGGGAGTTTAATATTCCCTAAAACCCTGGTTGATCTTCCCAATTGAATGTAAAGTTGAACGGGGGTGGGAGGTTAATATTCCCTAAAACCCTGGTTGATCTTCCCAATTGAATGTAAAGTTTAACGGGTGTGGAAGTTTAATAATGTGTGCCTCTGATTAGTGTGAGGGGGCCCCCCCCCCAAACAATTTGAGGATACTCTATAACTCGCACTTTTTTTTGCCCCCCCTCAACATTTTTTTGGTCAATCAACTTAAGAAAGGATTTCAATTTACTTTCAATTGATTTCAATTTATTTTCAATTGATTTCAATTTACTTTTAATTAATTAATTTACTTTCAATTGATTTCAATTGATTTCAATTTACTTCAATTGATTTCAATTTACTTTCAATTGATTTCAATTTACTTTTAATTAATTAATTTACTTTCAATTGATTTCAATTTACTTTCAATTGATTTCAATTTACTTTTATTTTACTTTCAATTGATTTCAATTTACTTTCAATTGATTTCAATTGATTTCAATTTACTTTCAATTGATTTCAATTTACTGTTAATTTACTTTCAATTGATTTCAATTTACTTTCAATTGATTTCAATTTACTTTTAATTTACTTTCAATTGATTTCAATTTACTTTCAATTGATTTCAATTTACTTTTAATTTACTTTCAATTGATTTCAATTTACTTTCAATTGATTTCAATTTACTTTCAATTGATTTCAATTTACTCTCAATTGATTGCAATTTACTTTTAATTCACTTTCAATTTACTTTCAATTGTTTTCACTTTTACTTTTAATTTATTTTTAATTTTTTTTCACTCCCAAAAGTTGGTGCTCACAATAGAGTACCATCCAAACAATTATATTATTGAGTAACTGAGCCAATCATGAGGTATCCCCGGTATCCCCTTGAAAAATTGTCTGAGTGCTGTTTTTTAATAAGGGTTTAATAAGGCATCTGATTATTTGGGAAACCTTGCATTTTAAAATTTTAACACAACTATGGCTTTCTAAAGTGAAAGGACCAGCTTTACCCAAAGAAAGGTGGAGAAAGGGGTTTGCTTTTTTTTCACTCCCAAAAGTTGGTGCTCACAATAGAGTACCATCCAAACAATTATATTATTGAGTAACTGAGCCAATCATGAGGTATCCCCGGTATCCCCTTGAAAAATTGTCTGAGTGCTGTTTTTTAATAAGGGTTTAATAAGGCATCTAATTATTTGGAAAACCTTGCATTTTAAAGCTTTAGCATAAATATGGCTTTCTAAAGTGAAAGGACCAGCTTTACCCAAAGAAAGGTGGAGAAAGGGTTTTGCTTTTTTTTCACTCCCAAAAGTTGGTGCTCACAATAGAGTGCCATCCAAACAATTATATTATTGAGTAACTGAGCCACTCATAGGGTAATTAATATCTTAATGAATAATAAAGCAATAAAAAAAATAATTAAAAAAGGAAATAATGAAAAAAATGAAACAATAGTAAATACAATTAAAATAAAAATGAAAAAGTAAAAAGTAAAAATAAAAAATAAAATAAAAATAGATAAACTAAAAATAAAAAGAAATTAATAAATAAAGTAATTAATTAATTTCAAACAAAAAGCATTTGGAAAAAAAAATGAAAAAAATAAATCTGCACAAAATTTCTCACAATAGAGGCTCCCCCCAACAATTAGCATGTTACTGAATTAGGAGCAAGAAATTTCTCACAATAGGGTACCAGGCTTCTAATCAGAGGCAAACATTATTCCCTAAAACCCTGGTTGATCTTTCCAATTGAATGTAAAGTTGAACGGGGGTGGGAGTTTAATATTCCCTGAAACCCCGATTGATCTTCCCAATTGAATGTAAAGTTGAACGGGGGTGGGAGGTTAATATTCCCTAATACCCTTGTTGATCTTCCCAATTGAATGTAAAGTTTAACAGGGGTCGGAGTTTAATATTCCCTAATACCCTGGTTGATTTTCCCAATTGAATGTAAAGTTTAACAGGGGTGGGAGTTTAATATTCCCTAATACCCTTGTTGATCTTCCCACTGGAATGTCAAGTTGAACGGGTGTGGAAGTTTAATATTCCCTAAAACCCTGGTTGATATTCCCAATTGAATGTAAAGTTTAACGGGGGTGGAAGTTTAATATTCCCTAATACCCTGGTTGATTTTCCCAATTGAATGTAAAGTTTAACAGGGGTGGAAGTTTAATATTCCCTAAAACCCTAGTTGATCTTCCCAATTGAATGTCAAGTTGAACGGGGGTGGGAGTGTAATATTCCCTAAAACCCTTGTTGATCTTCCCAATTGAGTGTAAAGTTGAACGGGGGCGGGAGTTTAATATTCCCTAAAACCCTGGTTGATCTTCCCAATTGAATGTAAAGTTGAACGGGGGTGGGAGGTTAATATTCCCTAAAACCCTGGTTGATCTTCCCAATTGAATGTAAAGTTTAACAGGGGTCGGAGTTTAATATTCCCTAAAACCCCGATTGATCTTCCCAATTGAATGTAAAGTTTAACAGGGGTGGGAGTTTAATATTCCCTGAAACCCCGATTGATCTTCCCAATTGAATGTAAAGTTGAACGGGGGTGGGAGGTTAATATTCCCTAATACCCTTGTTGATCTTCCCAATTGAATGTAAAGTTTAACGGGGGTGGGAGTGTAATATTCCCGAATACCCTTGTTGATCTTCCCAATTGAATGTAAAGTTTAACGGGGGTGGAAGTTTAATATTCCCTAAAACCCTGGTTGATCTTCCCAATTGAATGTTAAGTTTAACGGGGGTGAGAGTTTAATATTCCCTAATACCCTTGTTGATCTTCCCAATTGAATGTAAAGTTTAACGGGGGTGGGAGTGTAATATTCCCGAATACCCTTGTTGATCTTCCCAATTGAATGTAAAGTTTAACGGGGGTGGAAGTTTAATATTCCCTAAAACCCTGGTTGATCTTCCCAATTGAATGTAAAGTTGAACGGGGGTGGGAGTTTAATATTCCCTAATACCCTTGTTGATCTTCCCAATTGAATGTAAAGTTTAACGGGGGTGGGAGTGCAATATTCCCTAATACCCTTGTTGATCTTCCCAATTGAATGTAAAGTTTAACGGGGGTGGGAGTGTAATATTCCCGAATACCCTTGTTGATCTTCCCAATTGAATGTAAAGTTTAACGGGGGTGGAAGTTTAATATTCCCTAAAACCCTGGTTGATCTTCCCAATTGAATGTAAAGTTGAACGGGGGTGGGAGTTTAATATTCCCTAATACCCTTGTTGATCTTCCCAATTGAATGTAAAGTTGAACGGGGGTGGGAGGTTAATATTCCCTAATACCCTTGTTGATCTTCCCAATTGAATGTAAAGTTTAACGGGTGTGGAAGTTTAATATTCCCAAAAACCCTGGTTGATCTTCCCAATTGAATGTAAGGTTGAACGGGGGTGGGAGGTTAATATTCCCTAATACCCTTGTTGATCTTCCCAATTGAATGTAAAAGTTGAACGGGGGTGGGAGGTTAATATTCCCAAAAACCCTGGTTGATCTTCCCAATTGAATGTAAAGTTGAACGTGGGTGGGAGGTTAATATTCCCTAATACCCTTGTTGATCTTCCCAATTGAATGTAAAGTTTAACAGGGGTCGGAGTTTAATATTCCCTGAAACCCCGATTGATCTTCCCAATTGAATGTAAAGTTTAACGGGGGTGGGAGGTTAATATTCCCTAATACCCTTGTTGATCTTCCCAATTGAATGTAAAGTTTAACGGGGGTGGGAGTGTAATATTCCCGAATACCCTTGTTGATCTTCCCAATTGAATGTAAAGTTTAACGGGGGTGGAAGTTTAATATTCCCTAATACCCTGGTTGATCTTCCCAATTGAATGTAAAGTTGAACGGGGGTGGGAGTTTAATATTCCCTAATACCCCTGTTGATCTTCCCAATTGAATGTAAAGTTGAACGGGGGTGGGAGGTTAATATTCCCTAATACCCTTGTTGATCTTCCCAATTGAATGTAAAGTTTAACAGGGGTCGGAGTTTAATATTCCCTGAAACCCCGATTGATCTTCCCAATTGAATGTAAAGTTTAACGGGGGTGGGAGGTTAATATTCCCTA